CCTGAACCCCTAAACCCCAATATTACAACATGAACTCTACTAACATTATGGTGAGATTGATTTTTTTATCCCTGGGCAATGAGGAAATTTCTGATTCTCCAGTAGGCTTTCTCTGATGTTACCCAGGCATGGAGGAGGAGGGGTACTACATTACTGATGGGTAGGGTGAAAGCCCATATTCTTCACGTGGTTTTCACTGACATTGCTGGACAAAGGACTTGTTACAGGCTGATGGTGATGTAAGTGTTGGGTTTCCTATTTGACTTTCTCTGCTACCATCAGGACAGCAGTTATGTTTTAACAACCTGTGACTGTGAACATCAAGATATCCAGCTCAGCCTTTGCTGACTCAATTTGGGATGGGGTCAAAATTTCTGTGGATGTTTTCTTGTTTTGTTTTTTGGTGTTTGCCTGGAGTAGAGTGGTTATTATGTAAATATTTTCTCTCTAGCTAGGCTGATTTTCTCCTAGTCCTTTGGATAGAGAAAACAGCGATATACTGGAGATTTTTGGTCTGTACCCATTGGCATTGTACCCATTTTGTCTGTACTCATTCAGGAATCTCGTCTGAAAAGGCAGATAGCTTCTTCAGCTCCAAGTCTTGTATATATGAGATAAAAACAAAGCTCAGGAAACTCATCATTGTGTTCCTTTTTGTTCCTGAAGTCCCTCACTGGTCTGCTGTCTTGGTTACATTACACCTATATAGGTCTTTTTATTTTATGTATAATCTACAAGATTTTAGCTATGTTTAGTGAGAGGAATAGGAAAAAGTATTTCTACTCCATCTTCCCAGAAGTGGAAGTCACTCCTAAAAAGTTTTCAATGTTAGGAATTTTATAGATGCCTGTTTTTCTTATTTCTGACTATATTCCATAGTAATAACAAAGCCAGAGGATTTTATTCTTTTAAAACGAATTAAATCATATACACATCATAATGAATATTTCATTTCCATCTGGGAAAAAAAAATACATGCTCTTCTGTTTTGAAGTAGAATGTTCTATAAATGTAATTTTAAAAAATGGTTAACGATGAAATATAAATCTTCTATATTCATATTTGTCTTCCCTATAAATGTTATATAAATGAATAGCAGATGTGTGTTGAAATCTCACTCTTATAGTGTGAATTTATCTATTTCTTCTTTTAATTCTTTTGCTTTTTGCTTTATGTATTTCAAAGCTCTGTTATTAAGCATGTATACATTTAAGAGTATTCTGTCGTTTTGATGAGATAGTCTCTTTATCATTTAAAAAAATCCTTCTTTGTCCCAGGGAACATAATTGGTTTTGAAATCTTATTTTTTTAATATTGATATAGATACATCAGATTTTTATAGTTAACAATTTCAAGGTATGGTCTTTTCTACTTCTTAACTTGAAAAAAAAAATACGATGAAACTACCTTTTAACTTTTGACCTGTTAACAAGTAAAATTACTTTCTTGAGGTCATTACATAGATTGGCTTTGGTTGTTTATTAATTCTATCAATTGCTGTCTTTTATTTGAAGTTTGTGGCACATTTATAATTAGTTTATGTTTCTATAATGTTGAAGTTTATCATTTTGCTTTTTATTTTATTTTTTTCTGCAGGTTCTTTTACATGTTTTTGTTTTTTGTTGGCTTCTAAGACATTATTTTTAAAAATCATTTTATTTTCTATATTAGCACATTTTCTATACCTACTGGTCTTTTGTTACATAGGAAAATGAGCACCAGACAAATAGGAAAATGAATTGGGCGGTGTGTTTTGTTTTGTTTGTCATTAATTGTTATTAAATTGGCCAAACTGGGTGGGTGTAGTGGCTCATACCTCTAATTCCAGCACTTTGGGAGGCCAAGACTGAAGGATCACTTAAGCCTAGAAGTTTAAGATCAGCCTTTGCATTAAAGCAAGATGCCATCTATATAAAAAAATACAAAAATTAGCAGGCATGGTGACATGTGCCTATAGTCCTAGCCACTCAGAAGGCTGAGCTGGGAGGATCAGTTGAGCCCAGAAGTTCTAGATTGCTGTGAGCTATAATCACACTACTGCACTCTAGCCTAGGTGACAGAGTGGGCCCTTGTCTCAAATAAATAAATGAATTAACAAATACATTTTTCTTTTCTGACCTCTTTAACCAACTACAGTATTAGATGGTTTTAGCTGCTTAATTTTTCTCTTCTTTAATTCTGTTTTCTTACCTACATATAAACCATTCTAATTACTTCCACAGAAAGTTTATTTTAAATAGAACTTCTAAATTTTTAATTAAATGATTAATTACTTTTAACCAAGTAAATGAGATAAAACATCAAATATGCTTTAAGGCGTAGACCAACATTATCTGCTCCAAATAATATTAGCATACATATACAAATATTATATGCGGATTTTTCACTGATTAAAAAATTCAATAGCAGATTTTAGTAACATTTTTCTTATTTCAATTAGTGTGTTAATCATGTACAAGCTATTGTAATTCTTGTTTACAATTCTACAAGGACATAAGTAATTATGAATTCTTGTAAAATAATATAGTCATAAATAATTACAATTTTGAAGTTGAAAATATTTGCTTTTTATTGTCTTCTAATTTTTCTTCTCTTTGTTATTAAGTGAAATAACCCATGAAGGTGAGACAAGCATTTAAATTGCAAAAGAAAAAAAAAAGAAAGAAAAACAATTAACTGATTCAATCAACTGGATGAGTCCTTGAATACATAACGTAAGAATATCAAGCTTTAAGTAGTAAAAGATTTTAAGTAGTAAATGTATCAAATAAGGTGTGCAATAGAAAATTTTGTTGCAACAAGAGAGCTTCAAAGAGAGCTTAACTATGTACTGGTTATACTTTTCAAAATTTATTTTATAAGCTATAAAGGAATGCCAACACATCATAATATCTGATATTATAAGTCAATTTGAAAAAAAAGGAACCTTGAAAAATTATTATTATTACTCTCTGTACTTAGCAAAGGAAATAGTAAGTTTTTATCCCTCTTTATGCAACATTACACAGTGCTACAACAAGCAGATATTACTTTAAGTTTCTCTTTTATCCCAACATAGCATGTTTCTCAAATATTTTTGAGACACAATTACCAATATCTTCTAAAACTCTGCTTATTCTTGTTTAAGCATTTGGATTTCAGAAAAACATTATGCCATTTGAATTTGATATTTTAAAATTTTTTTTCAAACTGTGAACCCCAAAATATTTGAGACAGGTTTCAATCAATTTAGAAAGCTTATTTGGACAAGTGCTGTGGGCTTATGCCTGTAAACCCAGAACTTTGGGAGGCCAAGGCAGGTGGATCACGAGGTCAGAGACTGAGATCATCCTGGCTAACATGGTGAAAATCTGTTTCTACTGAAAATATTTTTAAAAATTAGCTCAGTGTGGTGGCTGCGTGTCTGTAGTCCCAGCTACTCGGGAGGTGGAGGCAGGAGAATTGCTTGACCCTGGAAGGCGGAGGTTGCAGTGAGCTGAGATCGCGCTACTGCACTTGAGCTTTGCACAGAGCAAGACTCAGTCTCAAAGAAAAAAAAAAAAAAAAAGAAGTTAATTTTGCCAAGGTTAAGGATTCACACGTGATAAAGCCATTCAGATCTTTGGAGGCCTTAGTATTTTATTTTGGTTTACATTCTCTGCCTTCTGGCCAAGGTTTGCCAGAGACCGCATCAATGGCCACACCACGTATTTATTTTGTTCCATAGCATTAGCAGGGCTGCAAGGCTGTCTGCCTCAGGTCCATCCTGTCCCTCAGTGGGACACTCTGTGGCACCGGGGATTTAAAGCCAAAAGACTTATAACCAATTAAATGTTCTAGGCCAGACAGGAATGAACATGGACAGGCATTCATTATCACTTAAATTTTGCTGTTTTAAAATAAAGAGCCAACCACCAAAAAACCAAAGGCGAGGTTACAAAACTGACTTGTTTAATTTCTGTGCGTTGAGCTACTGCAATCTTGGTTTTAGTTACAGACATATAGCAATTCACTATATAAAGCATAACACTGTTCTGAAAAATAAATTTTAAAATATATATCTATCTGCACAACTCATAACTGGGAATATTATACTAAGGAGGCTTGGTCACGAGTTATCTTTATTCTCTTAGTAATTATTTTCTCTTCTACTGGAAACAGGAAATTTCTTATGGTTGAGGTGGATGAAAAGGTGTCACATAATAGCTTAGAAAACAAAATCCTTTGTTTTACTTACCATTTTGGTGTATTTGTACCCATCTTTGATTTGGAATGTCTGACCTTGACCTACTTCTATCCCTCAAAACCCACCCTCAAAATCTTATGTGCCCACCTCTTCCAAGATAGTCCCTGAGCCTAAAGAGATGGGGCTTCTATAGCCTTAAACAGTAGGGCATTTGCGATGAAAACCAGATCAGGTCCAGTGGGATGCCAAATGAGGAAAATTTGCATCTGTAGTCTTCAGAATACCATGATTCCAGTTTCCCAGGAAGTAAAACAAGGAAAGATAAATAAGGTTAATATTTTGACAAATAAAAGAGTATGTGTCAGAACAGAAAAAGGAACCTATTCTATTAGGGCTAAAAATATAAAGAAACACTATAATCTGTAACTCTTTAGAGGATTATTATAGCCAGGAAATAATTTATGATTCAATCTGTACTCAAAAACAAAAGTCAGGGCTGAAATCTAGTAAAAAGTGTAGTTTTACCTGAAACACTTTCTTTTTCTCTTTAGTCCTCCTTTCCTAGTGAAGAGAAATTATAGTAAGACTAATTTGTGTGCAAAATAAATGTTAGGTTTATTATACGTTGCCTGATTATTTGCATAAATTGCAGCAAGAATTAATTGCCATATAGCCTCCTTTTAAGTTGACTTTCCTGAAACTTTACCTAAAAATATATTATTTTACTTAAAGCCTTGATAAAGTAACCAGTGTCTCCAATTGTCCTGTTTTAAAAGAAAAGACTCTTACTAAACTTATGTAAATAACGATATTTTCATAAAATCAGAATATTCACGGTTTCTGAATTTTGGATAATTCAGAGAGATAGGTAAATTTGCTCACAAAAACATACTTCATCCGATTGCTCTAAGCTATAAATAACTGAAAAAAAATTTTTTTTTTCTGGAAGTTTACTTGGAACAGCACCCTTCCAAACAAGATGTGGTTTGTTCACCTTGGAACTGCCATCCACAAGCTAGTAGATCTTATTAGATTAGAGCTGTTTATCAGGCACTGTAGAATCTAGCTGTTCCCCACATAGTTAGAGTTACTTCTAGGGAAATTGGAGGCTCCCTACTCATGAGAATTTCCTTCTTGTATCCCTAGGTAGTAAGATTCTATGTAAACCATTTTGTATTTTATTATAGAACTCTTTGGGGCACCATTATTTCCATTAGCATAGGGGTAGCTTCAGTTAGCTTCATAGCAAGGCAGTAAATGCCCCTCAGGAAATTCTTTAGTCCAGTAGTTGTCATTAAGAAGTGCTTATAGTCTTTTGCCTTAAGCCCCAATAAATGTTCCACAGAGGGCTGTGAAGTGGAGAATTTGCCCTGACTAGCACTCCAATTTTTTTTTTTTTTTTCTTTTTAAAAGATGGGGTTTTACCATGTTGGTCAGGCTGGTCTTGAACTCCCAACCTCAGATGATCTGCCCACCTTGGCCTCCAAAGTTCTTGGATTACAGGCGTGAGCCACCACACCCAGCCTAAGCACTACAATTTTGCATTATATTCTGTGGGCTCAGACAATCTTACCCTCAGATCTCCAAATGCAAACCTGGAGCCTGAAGGTCTGAAGTCTTGCTTGCTTCCTGATCATCTCCCACCCCTGCCTGTGTTCGCCATTGTCCCTGATCGCCCAAGGGAGCTTCCCCAGACAAGCCCCTCACCCAACCCTGCCATTCAACTGTTCTTATGGTAATGTGAATACCTCTGCAATTTCTTACCAGATTTAAGGTTTGTGTTGCTATTAATATTGGCTGGCTTTTCCTGAATCCCAAAACACAGAAGGGTTCCATTCATGTGGTTGGAGAGCCTTACATTTTACGTGGTTTAAAAACTGACATTCCCTGTTGTGTATTTATGATGTTTTAAGAAAATGATTTTACAGTTTGCATGGGTTAGGAATAGGAGGAAGTCAAAACACAAAAAGTAATTTGAACACAGAGAAACTAGTATAATGAATTAATATCTATAATGTAAGATTAGATTAATGAAGGATTGATAAAGACAGCACACACACAAAACTAGACAAAAGAGGCAGTAGATGAAGCACCCAAATAAAGACTCCTCCTGGGACTGAGATCCAGACCACGGTGCAGATGGCTTGGCTGTTGATAAATAGTGGCAAGGAAATTGCTGTTGTACCAGTGGAACTTATTTTTATTCCAGTGTTGCATATCATTTATTAGCATCTATAATAAAAGATAAATATGTAAATACGTGGGTATCATCTTGCTGCTACCCCCAACCAACATACAAATAATTTTCCTCCTCATTGTTTAAATATAGTTTAAATATATTTTTGATTTTCATAATTTATCATTTATATTATGTATTGACATAAAAATTAAGCAAAGCCTTGTAGCACATTATCTTTTTTTTATTATTTCTTTGGGAAGTTTTACTTTTTTTGGAGTTAATTATTAATGTTTTCATTTTATTAGTTTTCTATAAGCTCAATGGATAAATTTTCTAAGTCTTCTGTTTCCATGCAATGGAATTTTCATATTATTTTTTCCTGGAAGATATCAGTGCAGGAGCATTAAGAACTTGGCATCACCACCAACCCTTCAACATTTTCTTCTGCAGTTTAGAAGAGAATGTAGCACCTACAATTCCCAACATACATTTACTCTTACAGTTTTAAGTTAGAGTTAGCTAGTGAGAGATACTATTGCAGATTTAAAAGGCAGAAGAAACGGTGAAGATTTTACTGAAGGAGGCTGTTGTAGCCAGATGATTGGGTCTTGTGGAAAAAAAAAAAAAAAAAAAAAAAAAAAAAAAAACAGTAGTGTCCATAAAACCAGCCTTCTTGCAGCTGCAGCTGAAAATGGAAAAAACTTCCATGAGTTTCTTGAAAATTTCAATGGCTTCCTATTTAGGCAGTTTTTCAAAACCACTTTCGCTGGTGCCTCCGGCTAATACCTTCAGTGGTACTTTCCCTGAATGGAATTCCTTCATTATCATCTTGGGAAATCCCCTTTCCATCTCTAAATATTTGACTCCTCTCCTCCTTGCTTTACACATTAAGTATATTCCTGTATACTCAATCTATTTTATTGCAGCACATTGGCCAGAATCTTTCTGAAAAAAAGTTATTGGGAACTTTTTATTTCTTTGTTGTTGTCCTTGATTGTTTTTGCTCTTTGCAAGCCAGGGAGCAAATTTATTTTATATTCATATTGATAAATCATTCAGTTACAAAATTCAGTGTAGAAAACTTACTGCTTCATTGCATTCTAAATTCCTGTTTATCTGCTTCTTTGTATGGCTCCCGTTTATTTTGCTTTTCCTTCCAGAAGCTTCTTAGCATTTTCTCTTTGTTCCTAGAATTCTAAGATTGCACAGTGATGTGTCTTGGGACCTATTCACTTTTTTGAGGTGAAATATGTATTTAGTAAAATTCCGTACTTTTAATTTAATAATTTATGAGATTAGGGAAATGTATAAGTTTATGTAACTACCACTGCAATCAACAGAATATTTCAGTCATGCGTAGTTTGGACTTTTCTTTCTTTTCAGACACAGTCTCACTCTGTCACCCAGGCTGGAGGACAGTGGCATAATCTGGGCTAATTGCAAACTCCACCCCCCGGGTGCAAGCAATTCTCTTGCCTCAGCCTCTGGAATAGCTGGGATTGCAGGCGCCTGCTACTGCAGCCAGCTAATTTGTATATTTTTAGTAGGGATGGGGATTCACCATCTTGGCCAGGCTGGCTTTGAACTCTTAACCTCATAATCCACCCACCTTGGCCTCCCAGAGTGCTGGTAAGTTTAGACATGTCTAGAATTTACATAAGCACAGTCTTTTGTGTCTTCCTTCTTTAACTTAGCATACGACTTTTAAGAGTCATCCATTTTGTTGTTTTATCAGTACTTTATTTCTTGTCGTTGCTGTATTACATTTTATGAAGTTACCATAATTTGTTTATACATTTTAGTTGATGTACCTTTGGGTATGTTTGGGAAAAACACTCAAACTGTGTTTTTTCTCTGCTCTCACACCACTACAACAATAATCAACACAGAAGACCTCTGTGACCAAATGTGGGTAGTGGTTCTCTCCACCACTAAGCAAGCAGTCTATGCTGCAATGGACACAACTAGGTGTCCTTCAATTCAATTGTGGCACTGTCTACCCAGAGATAGTGTCACATCCTGCACATTTGTTAGAGGTGTTTGAACCAGAGCAACTCTATCTTGAAGAGGAGCTAGGTAAAATGAGGCTGAGGCCTACTGGGTTGCATTCACAGGCAGGTAAGGCATTCTAAATCACAAGATGAGACAGGAAGTCGGTATAAAATATAGGTCATAAAGATGTTGCTGATAAAAATAGGTTGCAGTAAAGAAGCCAGCCAAAACCCACCAAAACCAAGATGGCAATAAGACTGACCTTTGGTCACCCTCACTACCGCACTTCCACCAGTGACATGATATTTACAAATGCCATGGCAACATCATAAAGCTGACCTTTAGACTGACCTATCCTAAAAAAAAAAAAAAAAAAAAAAAAAAAAATGAATAATCCACCCTTTGCTTAGCATATTATTAAGAAACAACCATAAAAATGGGCAACCAGCAGCCCTTGGGGCTTCTCTGTCTATGGAGTAGCCATTCTTTTATTCCTTTACTTGCCTAATAAACATGCCTTTATTCTATGGACTCTCCCTGAATTCTTCCGTGCCTGAGATCCAAAAACCCTCTCTTGGGATCTGGATCCAGGCACAACACATTGAGGGCTCAATCTGACAAAACTGCTCCCTCTTTCCCACCAGTTGCAAATTGAGGCCTCTGGGACTTCTGACCACCAGCTTCAAGTTCAGATTCCCATGATTGTCTTTTCAGGTCTGACTAATTTGCTGGAGTGGTTCATAGAACTTGGGGATGCACCTAACATTTACTAGATTATTACAATAGATAACAGATAAAGAGATGCATAGAGAAAGTCATCTGAGAAGGGGTAGGTAGCTTTCATCTACTTCCCCCAACCCCCAACCTGCCCACCAGACTCATCACTCTCCAAGAAATTCCACTGGTTCAATTATCCTGAGCCTCTCAAAACCCTGTTCTCTTGAGTTTTTATGGAGACTTCATTAAGTAGACATTATTAATCAAAGTACTGGTCATTGGTGAACAACTTGGCTCTAGGCCCTGGCTGAGTTGTAACCCTCTAATCCTACCTTTGTCTTTCTCCTGAGAAACTCTGTTCTGAATCTGTCAGTTAACATTTGAATACAAAATGACAGCTCTTTGGAGTTTCCAAGGATTTTAGGAGTTGTATGCCAGGAAACAGGGAAGAACATCAAATATATATTTTACAATATTAGAGTAGTTTTGGATATTTGTTATTTTGAGTATAGTTGCCATGAACATTTACAAACATATCTTTGTGCAGACATATATTTCCCTTTCTATTGCATAATTATCTAGGAGTGGTTAGATGTTAACTTAATAAGATGGTGTTATTCATTTTTCTAACGCTGTGGTACAATTTTTATTCTCACCATTGTGCTGGTAATCAATGGCCTTTGAAATATGGGAACCCATACTATTTTATTTTTGAGAATTTTGTTCTAGCTTATCTTTGATAATTTTCTTCTCTTTTTGCCAACATGCATAGTTAGGTATAAGACATTCTGTGTTGAGATTTTAATTTTATGAATTTTATGCTAAATCAGAAATTCATAATATTTTTCCCTCTTTGGGGCCAAAAAAGTGAGTCTAATATATGTCAATTCTAAATTTTTTCTTTTTTACAGAAGACATTAAAAGACTCCAAAGCACCAAAATTCTACAAAATGAAGGAAAACAAAGCATACTATTTTGATGTTTGTAGTGACATGAATATGTTAATGTTGAACTATACACAA